GGCCCGGCCCGGGGCAGCCGACGGACGCCCCTGTCCTTCCCAGTTCCTCCGGCGGCAGCAGGTTCTGCAGTTGTACAGGAAGATCCTGCGGGCGATTCGCCTCGTCCCCGCAGAAGCGGATCGGCGCTATTTAAAGGACTGGGCCAGGGAGGAATTCAAGAGGAATAAGGACGCTACAGAGGAGGTGAGGCTCGGGGGAGCTGTCCTGTGCTGTCCTGTCCTGTGCTGTCCTGTCCTGTGCTGTCCTGTCCTGCCCTGTGCTGTGTGTTGTAGGTGTCACTTCCAGACTGTCAGGAAGCCTGCTTGTAGTAATTTCTCTTGAGGAGCATTTGTGTGAAGAAATAATTCAGCATCTTTGAATGTTATCCACCCTGTTAACGGCAGTAATGTTTCTTTGATGTCCAGATAATAAACTGGACTCAAAAAGCCACAACCCAAACAAATCCTGCTTACTTAAACAACAAATAAGAAAAAATATATTGAATAATATTACTTAACCAACAGAAACTTATTAACACTCAGGCTTTATTATAGCTTCTTTTTTATTCATCTTTAATTTCAGTTATATTCAGTGATATTCATCCAAAATCAAACTGGATGGTTGTGGATCTGGAGTGTGTATGAAATGCAGAAACCTTCACGCTTTTTGTATGTCTCCTGTCCTCTGCTTTCTAGTTCGTTCCTTTTTCCAGCCAGTGCTCAGGGAATTGGTGGCTGAATTATGCAGACAAAGCACTACTCAGATAAAAATAGCGTTGAGAGAAACATCCCCTTGTTCTGTAAATCATCTGTCTTCATAGTGGCCCACTGCAGTTGTCACCACTTACTTGTGAAGGCGGTAGACACAGAGGCGTAAAGAAAACATCACTGGGAGTTTGAATCCAGTTCAAGACTGAGTTTTAAAGCAAAGATATATAACTAGCTCCCAAACACATCATTAAGGAACTGGAGAAAATTAATTCATTTATTCACCTGTTTTTTTTAACCATCTCAGTGACTGTAGTGTTACTTCAGACAAAGAACAGATCACAAGAGGACTGGTGAGAACTGTACATGTTTTAATGTGTTAAAATCTGTGTGCTTGTCCAGCACCTGTGTTGTGTGCAGCTGTTCAGCTCAGCAGATTCCGTTTTGTTTTACAGGATGCCATCAGGATGATGATTACTCAAGGCAACATGCAACTTCAGGAACTTCAAAGAGCACTTAAGCTGGCAAAATCCTGATCTTAATTTTGTTGACAGATGGACTTTCATCTGCTGTGAACAAAAATAGTATTTTTCCAGAATGTTGTTGTAACAGTGGCCTTTGCTGACAACTTGGTCATGTTTCAAGGTACAATCTATCACACTGGGGTTTTTTGTTTGTTTTTTTTCTAATGCTTCCTCTTCTCGGTTTGGTTACCCTCTGGTGTGGCAATCACTCGGACACAAAGGTCTTTAAAGAACTGAGTGGATGATGTAGCATGTGCTGTGGGAAAAGCAGAAAGCACCAAACATTGCAACAGCAGTGTTATGCCAGGGCAATGGAAAATAAACTGGATTGTTTTGTCTGTTTTCTATTGTGGCAATTTTTAACTTGTAACATTCATAGTGGTAACAGCTCTTTCTCTACTGTGCCAGGATTTTTATAAAGATTTGGAGTTAAAAACGCATTTGGGATAAATAAATGGGCCCCAAACAAATAAACCTGATAAAACATTAAGGAAATGTTTTGTATTTAGATGTTGATTTTCAGTTGTCACTGAATAAAATTTAAAAGGGGAGGACTTTATATATGAAAAGGGAGAGATGTTAGCCCCAGAAATGGTTATTACCAAGGTAACAGGAAGTACCTTCAAGTTAGTATTTCAAAGTCAATATAAAGTAGAACTACAAATAGAAGATGCTAACTCGAATGTTGTGGTCTGTTTTTCCAAAGGTCATATTACTCCACTTCTAATTCTTAGGTTGCAGCTGTTCTTTCCTTCCTGTGAATTGCAGTGTATCTTCCCCCCCCCCACCCCCATAATTTAAAAAAGCTAAGGTAAGTCTGGGATTTTCTCAACTTAAATAGCCAGAGAACAGCCTGACTGTACAGTAGCTGCATACAATTGAGGTTGTGGTTTTGAGATACAGGAACTCTTCCCTCTCTGCTCTTACAGGTCATGCAGGGAGCCACCTCCCTGTGCCTGCAGACAGCTGGGCGGCCTCACAGCGGGTCCAGTCCGTGCCACTGCTGGCACAAGGGACAGGACAGGACAGTATTTCCCATCCAGGCTACAGGAGGGATGCAAGACCCCACTCAGCAGCAGGAGGTACGCTTCTTGCTGGACCCAAAGGGTCTTCAAAGCGACACACTTCAGCAAAGCTGCTTTGTGAACGGCTGCTGCTTGACAAGAAAAAATGTTGGAGGCTCTTTTCCCACATTCTTTTCCTGAAAGTCATTGTACAGTCCTTTCCTATGACGTTTGTTTAGCTTTGCAGTAAAGGATGTGGCTCAGGCAACCAGTGAGGCTGTTAAAGAGTTCAGGTTTGTACAGACAGAAGCCTTTGAGCTTCTGAATCGGTCAATAAAAAATAAACATGTCTAAATATTTAAAGATTTTTTTTTTTTTTATGTATTCTGTTAGAATACACTGACAGAACATCTGTGTGTTGGGGACTGATTTTTCACCTGATCAGAAAATGCTGTTTAGAAAGGAATTTTGATTAAACAAAGCTGTAATTTCAGCTTGTTCTCACACGTAGCCTTCCCTTTCCCTTCAGACAGTGGTTTGATTTCTGCGCCTTAATTAGGAGACTTTCCCCCACTGCCTCATCGCAGTGCTTTCCCTTCAGACCCCTGAGTCTGCCTTACTCCTCTGATGCCTTTGAGTTTGTACATTTATTTCTAGGTTATGGCCACATAGGCAGCGCCCTGGAGAGCTGCTGACCTCCAGAGTGCTGCTGCCCACCATCTCCAATGCTTTGTGGGCTTGTCAAGATAAAATTGCCTGCCAGAAGCCTTCAGGAGTCCCAAGCACAGTCTGCTTGGGCCAGTAAATTTACTCCAAGTATGTGCTGCAGAGAAAGGGAGATAATATGGGTATTTTGTAAGGAAGTCCTTCAACTGTAGTACTTTTGAAGCAAGGAGGATTAGAGAGAGGAGTAGATAGGAATTAGCAGAAAATGTCTCAATTTATTTTACAGTACACTTGTGGGCTTCAGAAAACCTCTAAACTCAGTACTCTGCAGCCAAGTTACTGCCTAAATTACTGCTCCAAGGGCTACCTCGGTACTGTAGTTCGTACGTGAAGCAGATGAGCTGAAGCCACAGCCTTGCTGTTCCCCTTGCACTTGTGCAAGCTCAGGAGCAGGTGTGGGATCAGGTGCACAACTCAGCCCTGTGCCGGGAACTTCCGAAATGGTGGGTGTGTGCATCAGCTAACAAATGCCTGTCAGTCCCTGCAGCCTCCCTTGGGACAGACAGGACCACCTGGGTTCCGTGTTTTACAGCCACAAACACAAAAGCTTAAAAGTCAAAAGTCCAATTTTCTGCTTCCTGTTCTGAGTCAAGTGAGGGAACCGTGTCCATTTGCTCTGGCCAGAAAACACTGCACCACAGACTTCTGAGCAACACTTATTTTAATTGCTTGGCAAAACATTCAGCTTTATCAAGATGATACAAAACTTAAATAGCATGCTTCTGCATTCCTACAGTAGCTTAAACAAAACTGTAAACATCTGAAAGTGTCTATATTAGACTACAGAAGTCAGAGCAAGAAAACTAGTGTTTCCATAACTGCAGATATACTTGTCTTGATAGTGCATTAATAGGAACTTTAAAAAATATTGTAATATGATACAATTGTCTTTGCTTTATACATCTGCTAAGAAGACAAAAGCTTAATTACTAATTAGTTAATGGTGTCTTCAATACTGTGAAGTATTTTGAATTGATTTTAGGGCTCCTCAGTACATTAAAAAAAACTCTTTTTCCTTGGCATAACAGTACTGTCGTGTATTTTGGTTTTGAACAACTGTTCCATCATGATCTGTTAAGTAAACTTATTTTGCTAACAGAATCTGATGGAGCCTTCGTGGAGGTTAAGGAGGAAACCCTAAAGGGGTGCAGAAGCAACGAGTTAGGGTCCCTCCAGTTTATTTGGAGTTTGTCAGCCTCGACAACATTGGTCATTGCTAAGTTTTGATTTTATAACAAAGCACATCCATAAAAACTTTAAAATGTTGTTGAGTTCCATTTTGTGGGAGTGTTGGTGAAACCAGTCCTGAGACCTGCAGACTCACCAGTTCCCAGCCTCTCTTTTTGGGGATAAAAGGGAAAAACCAGAGAGGAATCGTTCAGAGGAACAAAGGAAGATAAGTCTGGACAAGGCATCTGGGAGAAAATCCTGACTCTGCAGAAAAAGAAACATTTGAGTACAGGGAACCAAGCTTTCACTTCTTTACATAAAGGACTTTTTCAAGCTTCTTCAATAGCAGACAGTTCACCCATTTGCTGCTTGAAGGAAAAGGTACTTGTATAAAAATTATACCTAACGAGTAGAGCACGGTTATGGTAAAGTATCTGCCATCCCTGCCCTAAACGAAATGTCTCGGCCAGATTACTCAGTTATGTGTACTCACAGGTACCACGTCACCACAAGGAGCTTTGCAACCAGGACACCATTAAAAGAAAGACAAATCTAATTTAGCAGTTTTAATAATGTAAAACCTAAAGAAAGGCAAAGTGGCAACCACAGCCTGTGTACCTACGGGGATGACCCACTTTAGCAGCTCACTCTGTGGGAGCCTGGCCTCTCCCAGCTGGAAGCCTGCGTCTGTCACCTGTGTGGGCTTCTCATTTGAGTTGGTTCTGTAGCTTCTTCCCACTGACTAGAGGGACGCCGTGGGGAGTATCTAAAATAGTGTCAATAGCCCTTCATCACTAAGGAATTCCTGCCAAAAGCTCTCCAACATCCTCAATATATTCCAGTATTGGTATCACCACGTGTTGACATGTAGCATGTATGGAACCCTCCAGCCACACGTGACCTATATGGAAATAAGGAAATTCCCTTTTCAGAAAGCAGTTTTGGTTTCTAATGCAGTTTGTTTTCAAACAGCACCTGGAAATTGGGAGTGCAATATTTAACAGACTCTTGCAAGTAACAAAGAAAGAACCTAATCTGCAGCATCTCATTGTCATCAGGACAGTCTGCATATGAATTCTCCTGGGTTCTGGAGTTTGCAAAGTTAGTTTTACTCCTGAAAAAGAGCATTTTGTTTGGATGTAACAGGCACTACAAATGTATATATCTAATAATATTCCAGACTCCTGTACAGCGCGAGTCCCAGTGCTTGCCTTTACCTGCTTGGTGGATGCTAGCTCTCTTTCTGCACCTTAGTCCTTAATTTGCTGAGCTCCTCTTCTAAGCTTCTGATATGTTCCTTGAGCGCAGCTTTGTCCTGCTGCGCTTTCTGGTTAGCTTGGCACCGGGCTTCTTCTATCTTCCGTTCATACCACTTCTCCATCTGTGTGGAAACAGCCTCGAAGAAGTACTGTGTTATCTCCAGGGCCTGGGAGGTGTCTCTGAGCGGAGGGGCAGGCGGCTGTCCCCCAGGCAGGGCGGGGGGCTGCTGCTCCTGGCTCTGATGTGCCCCGGTGTGGTGGAGAACTCTGTGCCTTGACTGCCCGCTTTTGCTGGACTTCTTTGTCTGAGTTCCTTTGTCAATGAAGTAGCCACTCTGTGGTTCAGTCTTTGCAGGTTCAGTCAAGGGCTGCAAAGCAGCTTGAACCTTAACATGTCTTAATTTGGACCCCAAAACCTCGGAGGAGGGCAGGTCCTGATGGAACCTGTGGAACGTGCTGGCACTAACAGCTTTGTCCTTTGGCCTGACATCTTGAGCAAGGGCAGAAGAAGGAACTGGTCCGCCAGCGATTAACTGTTGCTCTGTACCTACAGAATAAAGATACATACACAAATATTTAGAAAAGCTCTGGGCATTTACTTTAGCATCCAGAACTCCTGACTCCTCGATAAAGGACAGAGTTTCCCATGCACCATGCTGTGTGTACGTTGTAGAGGCTTCTATTAGTTTATCACATCTTCACAGTCAGGTGATACAATAAAGAGTCATTAAAAGAGAAAAGCTGGCTGAGGCAGAGAGCACTGCACTGCGGCTGTGGGACTACAGACTGACAACAGTCAAAGGACTTCACCAGAAGGACATGTAACAATGATCAGGCTGGATGACTGAAGTAATCGCTGCCGATTCTTATGAACCCCCTGCTTCTACAGGAACTGAAGTCCCACTAATTTTGCAAAGGTAACACATTCTGATGCTTCTCAACTGTTCAATGCAGTACAGCTCACACTCATGCTGCCATAACATCTCCTGTGTGGTCTTCTGCCTTTCTAGTCTGATGGGGTATCCATGTCCATGTCTGTTCACTCTGCATAGTGTTTTGGGGGGGCATATACCATGTATTTTACAGAAGCCTGGAGCTTTGATAGTGCACTCCTTGGCTGTGGAAACCTGGGCATTCTCACTGGTTTGGGTTTTTTTCCTCACTGGCTTCCCTGGCAAAGCACACAGAGGTGGTTTGAACCAAGGTCTTCCATATCTTCTGGTGGCCATGACCTCTGAATGGGCTTGAATGTTCCCAGCTGTTCTTGTCAAATGAACTAATAATTAAACTGACTTTGGTTCAATGAAAGAGGAAAAAGTGAGAGGTTTATTCTATGTCCTTGCAGTCTGAATATTAACAAGGGAAACTAGTATTTTAGGTTCACATCCTTGCACCCTGCCCTGATAGGTTCCATACATCTGAAAAGCACTAAATACTTCCTTCAGTAGACTCGGGATAATCTGTACACCTTCCTAAAAGACAGTTGGGTGGGAGCAACTCTGACTGGAGAAATTTCAGAAAACAAGAGTTATTCAGAGCATCAAAGGACTTGGCTTCAAACACACAGTGACATGGAAGCATCAGGAAGAGCCACTGGAATTCCACCCAACAATGTCTTAACAATATTCCCAGCAGCTGCTTTGAAGTGTATTCTAATCCCAAGATGTTATGCATATGGATGGAGGAAAAGCACACAGCCAGAATTAACATCTGCAGTATTAATACAAGTATCCCTCAGTTAATTAACTTGCCTTTCAATGAATATGACATCCAAATACCTGACAAGGTTGTACCTGATGCACCATCTTGTTGAATGCAAAAATGCTGCCCAAAGCTCTGTTCTGGCATCTGGGCTCTGCTCCTTCCCCCATCTTCCGAGAGGCTGTTTGGGAGCGTGATATGGGAATGCTGGTGGGAGCCCTCTGACTGCAGCATGGGCTGGTTGGCTTTACAGTCCTTGGCACTGTGGGGGTTGTTCTCAGTATCCAGGGTCTCAGTGAGAGACTCCCAAGTGGACAAGGTTGATTTTGGTCTTGATGACCTGGAATCTCCAGAAAGCTTGAGCTCCAGATTCTGTATCTTCAACAGGCACCAAGTCTTGAGCTCATCGACCAAGGAAATCTATGAGAAAAAAGACTGTAAATGAGATGATCCTAGGATTAGATCCCATGGTTCCTGGGCTGCTGAGGACGTGTGGCAGGGACAAAGAGAAGCGAGTCTGCTATCTGCAGGCTTAGACTCCCTGTACAGATATGCATGCTGCTACTGGCAACATTTAAAGGACTGCAGATCAGAAAAGCTGACGAACTGTGCATTAGCTAATGAAAGGCACCCTCTTTAGTCCAAGCTACCACCTCTTAGATTTGAATGTGCTACTGCAAATGCAACCCTAAGTCCTCTGATCAAGGCTGACTTGTTTAATCCTACAGTCAACGGTACTTTCTAAGTGTGAGGAACATCATGTGTGGCCAAAGCTGCCATTTTTAAAGAGTGAAATTCAAATTAGGCAGTTCTGGGACACAGCTTTATACCATTACCAGCCTCTGCTCCTCTGTTCATTCGGTGATAAAGACAAGTCCAACACTAAATGATAAATAACTAACAGCTTTCAAATTACAAAGGTGCTTAATAAGCTCCAGAGGCATTTGCCAGTCATCATTTAAAGTATGAGTAGCTCTTTTACCTTCTTGTTCATATGACATAATGAATTTAGGTCGGTCCCTCCTACGCACATGGACATTTAGTTCATGCATTTATAAAGCCCAACTCAGTTTTCCCAGTAGTTTCAATTAGACCCAGCAGAACAGGAACAGCTGATGTCCCATAATGGTAATTTCAATTCACGCGATGTATCACTCCAGTATCTCATTTCTTAAATGGAGATTACAAGGAGATGGAGCACAAGCCCAGACATTCAGAAGAGAATATAATACTTAAGTCTCTTACTATGAAATAAAAACTAAAGCTACCTTAGTTTGATAAGTATTTTTATTTGGAGAAGAGTATTTTGCGGATGTTAGACTGAAGTATCTTGATCAGTAGTTGATGCTGAGATTGTCACAGCTGCCAGCCTTTTAACACAGATTTGGAATGGTCTTACAAAAAGTCAATTACAGTATCACAGAATGTCAGGGATTGGAAGGGACCTCGAAAGATCATCTAGTCCAACCCCCTGCCAGAGCAGGAACCTAAATGAGATCACACAGGAAGGTGTCCAGGTGGGTTTTGAATGTCTCCAGAGAAGGAGACTCCACAACCTCCCTGGGCAGCCTGTTCCAGTGCTCTGTCACCCTCACTGTAAAGAAGTTCCTTCTGAAATTTAAGCAGAACCTCCTGTGTTCCAGCTTGCACCCACTGCCCCTAATGGTGTCATAACATTTTACTAGCAAGAAGCATACTTCTCAATTCTTAGAAGAATACCAATAATGAGAAAATTAATTGTATTTTAAATTTACCTGTGTGAGTGGAGAAACACAAATTTCTTAGCATGTTTTATTGGTGAGTTTTTGCAGAAGCTAGAAGGGCCAGAGATGGATCTCTACGGGAATGGTTATTCTTGTAGTGCTGGTTAAACAAGCATACAAAAACAACTTGCCTATTGGCAGTAGTGCACAGCTTGGAGATGGTGCACCACTGCCAGAGGGAAGAACTGCAGCCTTTCAATACATGGGGAAAAGAAAGATCACACAGAGAAAAAGGGAGAGATTCCCAGGATGTGCAACCAAATGGATGAGAAGTAAAAGGAACAACACAAACCTTAGCCTTTGCTACTATTTGCAGATGTTCTTCACTGTGAGGGTGGTGAGACACTGGAACAGGTTGCCCAAGGAAGCTGTGGATGCCCCCTCCCTGGAAGTGTTTAAGGCCAGGCTGGATGAGGCTTTGAGCAACCTGATCTAGTGGAAGGTGTCCCTGCTGATGGCAGGGGGGTGGGAACGAGATGATCTTTAAGTTCCCTTCCAACCCAAACCATTCTATGATTCTATGTTCCTGCAGATGTTCTTTAAGGAAGCAAAAACTGAAAGCACAGCTGTTAAAAATTTAGTAGTAGGAAATTTTGAAAAGCACTATGTTAGAAAAAAGATATTTTGTTACAGATCCCACACTTCAGACCCACCAAATTAAATTATGACAGGGGGAGTGGATTTCACATTCCCCATTTCTAATGCAAAAGCTTTATAAATTTGGTTTAGAGATTAAGGGGATGGATAGGAATAATTTGGTCTTTGAAGCTCTTTTGCCTGTTTCAACAGATGAGATAAATCTCCAATATTCCCTCTGCCTGCTGGAACAAAATTCTTGAGCTGATCCATCTGAGCTAAGAGGGAGTAGCCGTTTCAAGCCCTACCTGCCGTTTCTGCCCCTCATTTTTTTCCAGCTCCGTGTGCTGCTGCAGGCGGTGAAGGCACTCCGTTCTCTCTGCGGACAGCCGCTCAGCCATTAGCTTGTCTAAAACACGGAGCTGTGGGAAAAAAACCCCACAATTTAGCTGAGATGATCATGTTAAAACCCAAATAAACCCCCCATCTGTGAACCTTGTAAAGTACAGTCTGTCTTTCAGTCTTCGTTTCTAGGAATGCTGCCAACTACAATTAGATGTAGCTTGGAAAAAGGCTCAATCACAAAATTATCAATTAATAACAATTACATTAAAAATAAAAATTAATTTAGAGGATGTTGAATCTCAGTGCAAACAGAATTCAGCAAGAGGGATTTTTACAATTATGAACCGACTAGCTGTAGGACTGCCTTCTGTCTTTTAAATTTCCCTCTTAGGGCCTCAAGCAGTTTAGATTAATTGTCTAAAGAAGCACCTGAAGCCACTTAACACATTAAATGTGTTTTTCTCAAGACCCTGGTTTGTAACATTAGATCCCCGTGGAATGCCCAGTTTCCCGGTCTTGAGAACTAGATTTCAGGTTTTTACAACACAAGAAGCAATAAATGAATTATGACAATGAAAATATTAATTAAGCTTAGGATATGTTTCTAGTAGTCTTGTGAGCAAGCAGACCTCCGGGTCATATTCTTACTTGATGCTGAGTTTTGCTTTCCATCTGGCCCAGCTTAATATTCAGTTTATCTTGTACTGTCCCAAACTCAGCTTTTATCTCTTCCACAGTTGCCTCCAGCTGATTCTCCAGTTTATTTATCAGGGGCTCACAACGACATCCATTTATTGGTGCCTGAAAGGAGTAATACACTGACTTGTTACATCCCACTGTCCTCTTAGTGCACTTGGAACATTATCAAAGCCTCCTTGAGTCATTCTTGGGCTCTTCTGTACCATGTACTGCATCTCACCCTCCTGATAACACCTTACAGTAGCTCAGCCAACAGGCTATGAGTTGGAAAAGAACAGACTAGGAAGGGATTGATCTGATTTATATGGACACATCCTACCACAGCAGTGTTGATTTCACTGGGGCTACAAGGAGCAATGAGCTCAGATCATGTGTGCCATGGTACCGTGGGCCATGTGAGGGGATACCACTTTACAAGCCTATACCCCATGTCTCGTTGCTGTAATTCTGAATTGTAAAAAAATAATCTGATTTTGTGGATATGTGTGGGTTTGTGTGCATTTGATTTTTAACCTGATGCCAATAATGTGCTCTGGTTTTTTGTTTGTTTGTTGGGCATTTTTTTGTACTCTATGGCAAGGTCTCGCTGCTCCCATCTGCCTTCACCCTGCTGGCACTCAGCTGACCCCTGTCTCCTGTGCAGACCCCTGCCTTGCCTTCCTTTGACTTACACAACACTGTCCCCAGGCTCCTCTGCAAGGGGAGCTGCACTGACCACATTTAAATAGCTCCGGGAGATGGTTGCAAAAGGCTCCCTGAAGCAAGGACAGCTAATCCTCATCAGCTTGCTCTGCAATCTGCAGGCAGAAACTGGCTCCTGCTCTGGGGTGAGTCAGGAGCCCAAAGCAGCTGCTCTGAACCTGAATGTCTGCAGAGGAGCCTCCCTCTCTCCTCTGGCCCTGCAGTACTGTTTCACAAATGGGGGGTTATTCCCTTGGCAGGGGAAGGCAGGGGGTTTGCAGAGCACTAGAGAAAGCTTCAGAAATACAAGTACTGAAGAAATGTTGTTAAATATTCAGGGCCTGAGGGCATCAAAGAAGACAGACCAGCAAAAAAGAAGGGGAGAGAGGAGCGTCATGTATTTCAGGAAATACTGTAGGGGAGTCTAGCTCTATTAACTAATCTTTGCAAATAGATTTGTATACAAATCCTATCTGCTCTCTGCACCCCTCTTCCTGCTCCCCAATTCCTTCCTACTGGCCCATCCTCCTATCCTCAGATCCTAGGGGCAGGGAAATACTGCTTTTAAAATGCGTCCTCCATCCTTCCTGATGTCTGTTATGAGGATAATTCTGTAGCGCCACGGTTTGGGAGTTTCCCAAGCATTACACGGTGAGGTGCTGGAAAATATGGCCAGCAAAACCTTTGAAGTGTGAGTTGGAGTGATCCTCAGAATCTGCTGAATCTCTTAACTACACCAAGGGACTGAGGAGAGCCGATGGATGGATGTGAGAAGCTAAGGAAATGAAAAGACTGACCTCCCAGAGGTACAGGAGGGCAAGATTAAGAAAACAACAATATAGACGTTTACAATGTCTACAGGGTAATTTGCTGACTGTTTTCATGCTTTTTTATAAATGTGTACTAGTAAATAGTTCTGTAATAAGTAAAATATCAGTGTCTAAACTGGAACAAAAGCATGTGAGCTGGTAACTACAGGTTTATTTGTGAAGCAAATTCTGTACAGTTCCTGCCTCCAGTAATCCTAGAATCCCCAAAGACATGTTGCAATAAACAGAAAAAAAATTGAAACGAGATATATCGAGCATACCCAAGCTCTTGATTTAGGTAGTAAGCTTCACACACTGCCCTCATTTATTTTCCTCAGAAAATCTCTGCATTTCCTGTCAGAAATCTTAGTATTCCAAAGTGTACCGTAGAGGTTGCAGTGTCATTTCCAATTACTGTTCACACCTTATCTCCGAAAATGAAGTACTTTTTAGATCCAAACTAGTTAAGCATGTCTTCTTTAACACCCACAAAACCACCTTCCTGTTTACCAGACTTCAGGCCAAAATGCAGCTGAAGCCCCAACAAGGAAAACAAATCCACAGGCATGATTTCATACCCCTGACAGCGCAGTTGATCGAGTGCACGTTGTCTCCCTTCGCTACCCGTGCCCCAAGCGCTGCTCCCGAGTCTCCCTCCAGGAGGGCAGCGGCCGGCTCACCTGCATCACCTTCCCGTCCTTCCCTCGATAGAGCGTGTACAGCTGGTAGGCTCGGACCTCGTGGGGAGGGGGTGGGGAGGAGCAGTGATGTTTACTTCTGCGCCTCGGCACGTTTTGCTGGGGCCGAGGGAGAGTCTGCTGATCAGCTGGGGAGATGGGGTCTGAGAGCGCTGAAACCTGCGTAAAATACACACAAAGTTTGCCCTGTTTATGAGCCCCCACGTAAACTGCTCTTGGTGGGAACAGGACAAATCCACTGCGACAGTTACAGCAAAAACCTGATTAAAACTGGCTGCTCATGGCTTGGATGGGCATACCCTTCACTGGGTGGAAAACTGGCTGGATGGCCAGGCCCAAAGAGTTGTGGTGAATGGAGTTAAATCCAGCTGGTGACTGGTCATGAGTGGTGTTCCCCAGGGATCAGTTTTGGGGCCAGCTTGGTTTAATACCTTTATCAATGACCTGGATGAGGGGATCAAGTGCACCCTCAGTAAATTCGCAGATGATACCAGTTTGGGCAGGAGTGTTGGTCTGCTTGAGGGTA